CTGCCTGACGCCAAAGCACTGTACCAACCCAGAGGTCAGCGCGTGGTTTCAGTTAAGAAAATCAAAAGCAAACTCCGTGCCAATGAGTTGCTGCCGACGCACTGCGACCTTATAGGACAGGTAGAAGTGTGGGTTTCTGAGACTGTCACTCTTTGGGAGAGCAGAAAGTCCCCTCTTTCTCCCTCGGAGGCTGTTGAGTCTCAACTACTGATGTGGCAGTTAGCAGCCGGTTAAATCACTCCACCACCAGGGCTCATGACCCTGCACACGGGAGGCGCTGTAACTTCGATTTTGCAGATCAAGTTGCTCAATTCCGCTACCGGCACGCCATAGCAGCCGCAGACCACACGCACTCCGACCACGGACTGAAGTGGCCGTGTGACAATAAAACTTTATGGATGGACACTGCCATGTGGAATTCGGGCCATTTTCAGGTGCCCTGGAATAGTCTCCTTCAGATCCAACCATTAAAAAATTGTAAAAAACCACAACCACACACACACAAAAGTTTTGAGCAGTGGAAAATATTCAACAGGGTAAACTGACCTGAGCCTCAAGATAAATCTCACCCTGTGGACTCATTCAGTTCTCACGTCAGCTTTATCAGGAGGGCTAAAGCCGGGTGGGCTGCAGTGGGGTGAGGGGTGGGGGCTCGGACGCTCACCTTCCATGGGGAACGCTCACCCCAGAACCCTGGTGGCCTCATGGCTTACAGATTGGGCAGCACCCCTCAAGGCCAGCAGTTCAAAACCATCAGCCCCTCGAAGGGAGAACGACAGGGGCTTTCTACTCCCGTAGACTTGCCGCCTCGGAAACCCACGGGGCATTCTGCCCTGTCCTAGAGGGTCGCTGTGAGTGGCAAAGGCATCGACTCAGATCGATGGCAGTGAGTTTGGGGGCGGCCCCAGTTCGATCCCAGCCATTGCAGCCACCCCTTGTCGGCCAGTGGAGGTGTTCAGAGTCCACGTGGCTGTGATGCTGCGCTTTCCACACTGAGGCAGATGAGGAAGAAAGGCCTGGTGATCGAGACCTCATTTCCCAAACTCAGCCCATGTAAACCCTGTGGATCACAGGGCGGACGCTTTGTACCCCAGGAGTCAGGGGTGGGGGTGGGGGTGCCCACGCCACAGCAATTCACAGCGAGAGCAGCAAATCCTGATCCACATGCACCAGATGGGGAAACTGAGGCGCGGTGCGGAGAAGCAGCTTGCCCAGCGGCCGGAGCCCGGGTTGGAGGGGTGGGGCGTGTCCGGGGGCCGGGGTCCCCGCGGGGAGCTGAGCGGTGGTGGCACACCCCCCTGCAGGCCCCGGCGAGAGCGGGAAGAGCACGTTCATCAAGCAGATGCGGATCATCCACGGGGCCGGCTACTCGGAGGAGGAGCGCCGGGGCTTCCGGCCCCTGGTCTACCAGAACGTCTTGGTCTCCATGCAGGCCCTGGTGGAGGCCATGGACCGGTTGCAGATCCCCTTCGGCAGGCCCGAGAGCAAGGTGAGCCGGCGGCCACGCCCCCGGGCTGGTCTGCACCCCACCTGTCCACCCTCAGGCCTGGGGAAGGGCCCGGCTCCCAGACCAGACCAGGACCCGGGACCCCTCATCAGACCCCAGGACCCTTCCTCTGCCCCTCAGACCCTGGACCTGGACCACCCACCGCAGTGCAGGGCCCGCCTCCCCTCAGGATCCTCCCACTGCTGTCTAATTCGTCCGTTGGCCTTTTCCTCGCTCCTTTTGGATTAGGCCCCACCTACTCCAGCGTGGGTGCTGTGGTCATGCGTGGGGCTGCTCACCACAAGGTCCCCAGTTCAAACCCCCAAGCCGCCCCTCGGAGGAAGATGAGGCTGTCTGTTCCCGGCAAGATTGGTAGCCCATCAGGGGCCAATGAGAGAGCAAGCCAGCGGGGTGTGACGGTTTGTTAACTAATCACATCTTCCAAGACCCTGTTTCCAAATAAGATCACACAGGTATATGGATGTGTGTGTGTATGTATATGTGCGTGACCCCAAGATCAGCAGTTCAAAACCACCAGCTTCTCTGAGGGAGAAAGAGGAGGCTTTCTACTCCCATAAAGAGTGACAGTCTCGGAAACTCGCAGGGGCAGTTCCACCATGTCCTGTAGGGTCTCTGTGAGTCAGCATTGGCTCTGTACATGTGAGGTTGAGTGTATATCTATAAATATATATTTCTCCAACTGAAATGAGCCGCATCATTGCAGTTCTGTGTATAAAAGTTATACATGTTGGCTTCTCAGCCCACAAAATAAGGCAGCAGCCCAGGGACTCTGTGGTTGAGAGGCCAAGAGCCAGAGAAAGACGTGCCTGCCAGCATGGCTGAGAAAGTCTTTTAAAAATAAAACTGTATTCTTGATATTTTTTAATGTTAGCTTCCCTAATAAAACCTCATGAGCATGAAAAAAAGTTATACACAAATGGCAGAGCAATCACAAAATGGGTCTCTCCTTGGTTTTAGTTTTTCAATCCATATTTTCATGTTAGGTGTGGCGGTGTGCAGAGCGGGACGGCTCTGTAATGTTTCCGAAGCTGAGGCCTTTTGGAAACTGATGGCCCCACCTTTCTTCCAGGTTACGTCTGGGTGGATTCAAACGGCTAACCTTCCTGCTTCTGCTTCAGAGCTGGACCGTTTCTGCCAACTCAAAAGACAAACAAACAAAAGCCCTCACTGCCATTGAGTTGACTCTGGCTCATCACAACCCCAATAGGACAGGGTGGAACCGCCCCTGTGGGTTTCCAAGACTGAAACTCTTCATGGGAGTAGAAAGCCTCATCTTTCTCCTGCAGAGAGGCTGGTGGTTTCGAACTGCTGACCTTGTAGTTAGCAGCCCAACTCATAACCCATGATGTCACCGGGGCTCTAGGGACTTGTCTTTCCCATCCAAGTACAGTGAACCCTCGCCACTTCGCGCTTAGACTTCCGCGGCTTCACTCTATCACGGTTTTTGCGTAACCGCACATGCTCTGTCATTACTGCCACTGATTGGCTCATACTGTACACGCTTCTGTCTGCATCGCTACGTATCGGAGCTACGTATCAGATGCATTTTTGCTTTTGTACAGTGTACTGTCATTGTTTGGGATTTTTAAGAAATTTTATCTAAGCCCTCTGATGGCTCCTAAACGAGCTGCTTCTTCTAAGCCTTCTGACTAGAGGGTGTTTTTTCATGTCCTCTATGCTCTAACTACGAAAATATTTGATTTACAAATAAGGAATCCTACTTCGTGGAATTTCATTTATCACGGTAGGGTCTAGAACCGATTAACCTCGATAAACGAGGGTTCACTGTATTAACCAGGCCCGACCCTGATTAGCTTCAAAGATCAAACAAGATCCGGCATGTTCAGGGTGGTATGGCCATAGACTTTAGGGGCTTATTTTTCATGTTTTTTTTTTTAAACCTTTTGATAAATTCTTATAACTATATAGGTAAGAAATAATTATTGCTGGAATATATGTTTGGGGAGCACAGTTAACCCCACAGCAGGATGGGGAGGGGTTTGCAGAGATGCCTGGGAAGGCAGCACTGACAGGCTTGCCCCGCACCCCCCAGCACCACGCGAGCCTGATCATGAAGCAGGACCCGTACAAAGTGACCACGTTTGAGAAGTGCCTGGCTCTGGCCGTGCAGTGGCTGTGGAGGGACCCCGGAGTCCATGCCTGCTACGAGCGAAGGCACGAGTTCCACCTGCTTGACTCAGCCATGTAGTGAGTCTGGGGTCCCAGGGAAGGCAGGGGCACAGGGCATGGCCAGAGAGAGAGAGAGCCAGAGGACCGGGACTAGGGATGGGCTACAGGCCAGCCAGCCCCCAAGACTGGAAGGAAGATGTTAGGTCCGAGCTGACCAATAGTGGGGTGGCCTGCTCCTGGGGTGACCCTCTTCTGGGGTGATGTCATTCCTGGGGTTACACTGCTCCTGGGTAAACCCACCCCAGGGTGACCTTATTTCTGGGGTGATGTTATTCCTGGGGCAGCGCTGCTCCTGGTTACTCGCAGACCCCACCGGATCTATCCTCGCTTTGGGGGTCGTCTCCCTAGCAAAGTCTTCTCTGGGCCCAGAGTGGGGGGTGGGGGATGAGAAGCACAGGGAAACCTCCAGGCTGCTCCTCAGGGCTCCTTGCTCTGCAGCTACCTGACCCACCTGGAACGCATTGCTGACGAGGGCTACGTGCCCACGGCCCAAGACGTGCTCCGGAGCCGCATGCCCACCACCGGCATCAACGAGTACTGCTTCTCTGTGCAGAAAACCAACCTGAGGTGAGCATTCCGTCAGGTCCGCCTGCAGGAGGGGCAAGGAGGCTAGGGCTCTGAGGGATGAGTACGAGTTCGCTGACTTCGGTCGTGAAGGAGCTGCCTGGCTGGAGGTGGCGACACTGGATACAGATACCTCCATCCCCCTGGTTCAGACTGGACCAGAGGGAGAAACAAGGAGGAGGGACATTGAAGGGTACCTCCATGGTCTTTAGCCCTACTCTGGAGGGGCTGGTTGGGGGCTGATCACAGGAAGGTGAGGAGGGAGGTGAGGCAATGTGTGGAGACAGGGATTCTGTTCCTCCTACCAGACACCTTTCTGGTCTCGACAGGAGTCCTTACCAGGTATGGTCTATTTGCCATGGGTCTCCTCCCCTAGCTGCAGAGCCCCACAGATTCTAGTCAAATTTGGTGCTCCTCCTCTGGTCTCTCTCCTGGTCCAGTGGGAACTGGTGAATGTGAGTGGTGGTTGGATGGAAAGATGAAGGAAGGAATGGGCGTGGTTGGATGAGTGGATGGGTGGATGGATGGATAGGTAGATGGATGAATGGAT